ACAGATAAGTCTAGAACTCAGCCATGCTGACACCCAGCTCTCTGCTCAGGCTATCATAAAGGACCACAGCTACTGCTGTCGCTAGGGTGACCAGATGTCCCGATTTTATAGGGACAGTCCCGATTTTTGGGTCTTTTTCTTATATAGGCTCCTATTACCCCTCCACCCCTGTCCTGATTTTTCACACTTGCTGTTTAGTCACCCTAGCTGTCGCTGTCAGGAGCATGGATTGTTGGATTTGGTCCCTTCAATCTTAAAATCCTACCTTGTGAGCCAGGGCCAATCAGAGGGGGGGGGGGGCAAGAGGGCCATTTGGCCTGGGCCTCAAGCTCAAAAGGGACCTCAAATTTAGACACTTGTTAATTTTTTGGCATTTGATTAGTTTTGCAACTTGTTTTTATGCGCACCCCTATTGGCCCAAAATGTGACACTCTCTCTCAGCTTAGAGCTGCAAATTTAAGCAAATAAGAGAAATATTCAAATTATGTCTCTTTTTTTTTTTGGTGCCTTATTTTGTTTAATTTCATGTGTCGTCATTTCTTATTTTTATTATGGCTAAGGGCCCCAAGCTGGAAGTGGCCCGGGCTCTCTGGACTTCTGAGAGGGGCTGGCCAGAGGAGTGGTGTTGTGATCCCTTCTTTGGAATGTAAATTCATAGTTCTCAAAACATGTTTTGCCTCCGTATGTGGCCACTTCTCCTTGCAGCTGGGGCCTGCCCGGTAATACAAAAGGCTGAAGGACAAAGAGTGCCATCCACTGACACATCCCTTTCAAAGTGTGGGACAAAATAAAGAGCGCTGCAGACACTGAAGCAGCCCAGAAGAGAGCAGACAAAAGCTCCAGATAGAACGTGTTTGAGATGGGAAGCTCCTGCATTACTTTATTCACAGCAGCATTACTGTGCTCACTTTTCCCAGCTGCCAGCCTTGCTGAAACATCAGGATATGCTGTGAAGGCTCTCTGCATACTACTCAGATGCAGCAATTGTGCGAAGGGCAGGATTAAAGAACAGGATGAGGTGTTGCTGCTAAGGAAAAGAAAGGAATTTGCATTGCCTCAAGGGATGAGGAGTTAAGGGAGAAGACAGTAAACTCGAATGTTTGTGGTGGTGAGACATTGTCAATATATTAAATTAAGGCAATATACCGAGGCAATGCAGCAAACCACACCATCTACAGTGGTTTAAAGAAAATTCCCTGCAGTTAGTGAAGGAGTAAACAACCGTGGCAGAGCACAAGTCCTAATAAGCACATTATTTGTCCCCATATGCAAAGTCTTTGCAATGAAAATTAATAATACTTTACACTTCCATAGCATCTCCCTTCCCAGGATCTCAAAGCATTTTCCACCCATTAATTAAGCCTTACAACACTCCTGCAAGATGCATTTTATTATCCCCATTCTACAGTGGAGGGAATTGAAGTATGGAAAAGCTCAGTGGCTTGCCCCAGGTCACCCAGCAAGTCAGTGGAAGAGCTGGTAGCAGCACCGCAGACTCACAGTATTGTTGTTCGCCCAGTAGTCTATGCTCCTTTGCTGAGGAAATAATAGTACGTTCTAATAGTTTCATTTAACTAGTGCCTGTCATCTGAGAAGCTCAAAGCACTTTACAAAGGTGTCTGTATTTTACAGGTGGGAGAACTGAGGCACAGAAAGACTAAGTCACTTGTCTGTAGCCTCATTGATAGAACACTGGACTGGGACTTGGGAGAGGTGGGTTCTCTTCTTGGCACTGCCACTGACCTGTTGGATGACCTAGGGCAATCACTTCCCCCGTGCCTCAGTTTCCCCATATTGTAAAACAACAGTAATGATACTGACTTCTTTTGTAAAGTGCTTTGAGATCTACTGATGAGAAGTGCTAGAAAAGAGCTAGGTATCATTATTATTAAGGTCCCATAGTGAGTCAATAGCAGAGCTGGGTTGGAAACCCCAATCTTCTCCTTCCCAGTCTGCTGCTTTAACCACTAAACCATGCTCCCTCCATAAGGAAATGCTACACAGGCCTCTTATCAGGGAGGCAGTTGGAAGATCTTTCCATTGTCATTGAGAGCCTCTCCCCTATTTTACAGTACCTGCCAAATGCCCTTTGGGATTAATAGAGGAAGTAAACTTTAACTCTGGATGCTACTGCTGCACTCTGACTGTCAGCAGAACAAAATGGTGACACCCCTAGCAGCCCTTTGGGCCACACACGATCTTAAAGTAAGTGGGCATAACTCCATTGGAGCCACTGGTAGCACTTGCTTATACCAGGGATGAATGTGGCACCTTGAATATTACAATTCTCAAGCTAGGTGGCTTAGTTTTGTTTCTGAAGAGGATTAGTTGGAATCAGTTGTCCCATGAGCCCAGATCTGTATGCTGTTACCAAAACTTCAGCTCTTCTGATGAAAGCACGTGGAGTCAGTTCAGGCCACGCCTGTATGGGGCCATAAAACATATTTTACTTGGCAGCTCAAGGCTGACACCCAGTACTGCTGTTGACATTCGCCTCCCAGAACAAGGAAGACCCGTCTCACCTCCCGTTGTGAGTCAGAAACAGGCCCATCCTTCTACCTCTTGAGATCAACCCTGGAGCAGTGCCACCACTGCCCAGCAACACCAGAGTGGGCAGAAGCCCTACACCGTTCCTGCTGAACTATTTCAGTACCATATTGGAGGAATTACAATATTTCTTTAAAGAGATTGCCATCACAGGGTTCTCAGTCACTGATCTCATGCTCCCAGTATGAGAAAGGGCAGAACTCCACTCTAGAGTGACCAGATGTCCCAATTTTATAGGGACAGTCCCGATTTTTGGGTCTTTTTCTTATATAGGCTCCTATTACCTCCACCCCCATCCCGATTTTTCACATTTGCTGTCTGGTCACCCTACCACTAACACAAGACTTTTAAGCCTTTGAGGCAGAGTTAGGGGAGTTCAGCCATGTCTGGTGCTGGGAGCATGAGACTCAAGACTGAGAACTGTGAGAGGATATCTTCAGATAAGGAGATTGAAAGGCAAAGACTTATCACTTACTAGTAATTTTAAGTATCAGAGGGGTAGCCGTGTTAGTCTGGATCTGTAAAAAGCAACAAAGAGTCCCGTGGTACCTTGTAGACTAACAGACGTCAAAACGTCTGTTAGTCTACAAGGTGCCACGGGACTCTTTGTCGCTTTTTAGTAATTTTAAGAAAGAGTGATAGGAAAGTAATTTTCCTTAAAAAGCACTGGCTCAATATAGAATCAAGCAGCCAAGAGGCAGTTTTCAGTGGGCCTATAATGGTTGGTTATCAGGGGAAAATAAACAAAATTCAAAATGAGATGGAAGGAGAAAATGAAAGAGAGAGAGCATTCTGGCTAATGATACTAGAGCCCTCAAATGCACCTTATTAGACCCAGCAGAGGAACCCTGCTCATTTTAGATACAAATTTATCATGATAAAGGCTGGAATATAAATAGATGGCTAGTTACTACATTACTACCTTGTTTATTAGTATAAAAAAATTGACACATCAGCAACATTCAACTGAATAATTTGTGTGGGCTGTGGGGGTATAAAGATAATTTAGGCAGCATCTCACAGGTATCATCCTTCCCACATTGGATTTAAAAAAAAATAACTTGCCATTTGATGCAATCTGGTGCTTTCTAAAGAGCAGGCCCTGATTCATCTCTCACAATAGTTTATGCTATTGGAACATCACTCATTGTAGAGTAGTTAATCCTGGTTTCTTTACACTAATTTTAAGAGAGAGCAGGTTCTGGCTTTTTGTCTACTGAACTATGCTTAGGAGGCAGTGGTAAAAGCCACTCTAGGCAGAGATTGTTTAGGACAGCTTTTGCAAGATTTGCTAGACCAGGCACAAAATCGGTTCATTTCCAGCTATTTACCATGGTGTTCCATGATGGGGGGTGGTGGGGTGTCAAACAAGCAAAAAACAACAACCAACCAAACAAAAAACAAACAAACCCCACAACCCTCAACCAAAAAACAAAAATCAAAACCAAACAACCCTCCCCCAAACCCTTCCCAATAACATTTACTGGACCATCCAACCCCCAAAACAAACAAAAACAATTTCCCCAAACACAGCCTGGGTGCCTGGGGAGCAGCTCAGCAAGCAGGTGCTTGGGGCAGCCAAGGGGAAAGGGCGGCACATCGGGTTCTTCAGCGGCAATTCGGCAGCGGGTCCCTCGGTTCCTCTCGGAGGGAAGGACCTGCTGCTGAAGTGCCACCGAAGAAAGCAGCGCTGGAGCTGCTGCCGGGCGAGGCTTTCCCCCCCCTCCCCGCTTGGGGTGGCAAAACCCCTGGAGCCGGCCCTGCTGGGGAGGTAGACCTTCCCAGGACAGGCTTAGCAGTGGGCAGAGTTTGGGTGGAACTGTCTCTGCTAGAGGCAGGGACAGGCAGGGGATGCGGGAACAATTTGTACAATGGGGGTGCTGAGAACCATTGAACCAAACTGTAAGCCCTGTATATGATGGGAACCCCTTCAAGCCAGGGAGTGCAGCAGCACTCCCAACACCCCTAGTTCCAGCACCTCTGGGCAGGGACAATCCTTCCACTTCCATTTGAACCTCAGCGATCCAAACGTGACCGCGACGTGTGAAACGGCAAACGGGGTTAGGCGGCAAAACTTTTCACGTGGCAAAGAACTGAACCTTCCTCCATTATTTCAAGCAACTTCCCCCACTCGTTCCATTTTGCTGGCTCCCTCTGTGGGGGCGGGAGGGGACCGCCACACACCGCAGGGCCTGGCTGGGGCTCCCTGCCCTCTCAGGAGGAAGGAGGGGGCTGTGCTCTGGCCAGCAGGTGGCGGCCCTCGCCTAGGTGCCCGCCCTGTGCGGAGAGAGCGCGCCCGGGAGCTGTGGACGCAGCTGGTGCCGGTCCCGGTCCCACCCGCGGCACCTGGGAGCAGAAGCGGAGCGGAGCCGGGCTGGGCGCGCGGCTCGGCCCCCTTCGCAGCTTGCCGACCTGGGCCAGCAGGCTCCGGGCTCCCCCGCACCTCCCCATACCTGCGCTGGGAGCGGCGTGCGAGGCGGAGCTGGACCTGCCGCTTCCACCCGCCTCCTCCTCGGATTGATAAATAACTTCAGCCGCGGCGGCGGGTGCGAAGGTCGCGTCCGGCTGCGCAGCGGGAGAAGCCCCGGGGCGGAGATTTGAGGACGCTCCCTGCAGCCCCGTGGCCCGGAGCCATGTCGCCCGGCCCCGTGTGAGCCGGGACCCTCGGCGCTAGTAGCCTCGCGGCTGGGCTGGATGCTTAGGGGCTGAACTCCCCCCGGCTTACCGCGTCCTCCATCCCCGGCTGCGCCCTGCGCCGGGTCCCGGCCAGGACATGTCGGTCTCCGAGCTGTACACCAAGGTGAGCGGGGCGGGGAGTCCCGGGCTGACCCGCGGCGGCCTTTGAATCGGAGACTATAACACCCCCCCGGGAGTCCCCTGCCCGCCACCCGTGCGCGCCTCGGGGAGTCTCCGGGGCTCGCTGCTGGCCGCGCCCCGCAGCCCCTGGGAGCGGGGGGTTCGGGAGCTGGCGCCTTGTTACCGGCTGCGTTAGTTTTCTGCCCTTCCTGGGTGCCCAGTCTGGCCGGGAGGCTGCCCGCTGGGGGTGCGCAGCGCTGCGGGTTTTAAAGCCGATCGGAACTTCTGTTGCTGTGAGACGAGAGGGCGGCGGCAGCATTTTACCTGGAGCCCCGCACCTGGCGGCCTCTCTCCGCTGCTGTGAGCCGGGCACCCGCACGGCCCCTCTCGGCCTCCCCGGGGTGCCGCTCGCTGCCTGTTCCCTGAGGCCCGGGGCGCCCCGGGGCCTGTAGTGTGGCCCCGCGCTGCCCCCCACGTGCGGCACCTGCCCCTAGAGAAACTTCCTGCCTCTGCCCCCCGTGCGCTGTCCCCCTGCTCTCCAGGGCCAGCTCCTTCCTCCACGCCAGCTGCAGGCTCGCTGCTGTTAGCTGGACCATGCCCCCCGCCTGTAATACCCTCCATGCCGTTCGCTTCCCCGCTCCCCCAGTTTATTGCCCCTTCGCCCCTGCATCTCTCCATCCACCCCATTCTGCAGGGCCATCTCCTAGTGCACTGCATGGCTCCCCCCCCCCCCCCGTCCTAGCAGCCCCTTCTTCTTCTCTGCTGGCCCCCCCCAGGCCGTTTCTGCAGGACCATCGTGGTGACACTGTTTATGGGGGACCGTTTATTATCTCTAAAAGCAAACCTCTAAAAGGCTGATGTGGGAGAAGCGGCTGCAAGTAATTGAGTGTGGGGGCTCCGGGAGTATTAATCGGTATAAAAGCCAAGTTACCATGAATCAGTCACATTTTCCTATAAAGTGGTGTGTAAATTTATGGTGCTACAGACCTGATTTAATTAATATGGGGGAAGAGGGCAGGATAAGTTTAGAAGGAAAAGGCTTGTCGGTTTCTGCCGAACTTGGCAGGCTCAGGTAACTATGCAAAGGTTGGGCTGAGCCGTAGGCGGGGAACAGCCCGGAACAGGTGTGCAGAGGAAGGGAAATGTCAGAGTTGTTGCTGCAGTTGTCACACGAAAGGTTAGGGGACTGGTGACACTTCCCAAACAGTTGCAAGCAAGCGGTATGTGTTGTTGACAGCCTTTACATTTAGTATTCTGGCTATTTGCTTTGCTGGCTCTAAAGCAAAATGCCTCTGTACCTTCCTCCGTGCTGACCTGGGGAAGCAGGCTAGGCCACAGCCCTGTCCTCGGATTGTTGGATCATGTAGGAAATGTGGACGGTCCCTTGCCTGGCACTGAGGGTGTTTGTTCCTTACCATACAGGTGGGGTGTGTGAGAGTCATTGAGTCTACCTGGGAAACCCGCAGCAGGCTAGCTACTGTTTGCACTGGGGAAGGACAGAGTCTCACTGACATAACCGCCAGAAAGAGATTTAGGCAGCATTTTTGGGGGGGGAACCAACTCAGCAACTTGTAACAATCCTCCTATTATAGTTTAAAAAACAAAACAAAACCCTGACACCCTCCTTTTCTGTAGCACAGTAGGGGAGGGGACAGAGGCTCATGATTCCTACTTTGTTTTTATTGCATCAGGCACCTACATAGGGTTTCTTAAAAAATAAAACTTTTTTTTAAAAAAAGAAGCCTTGTCAATATAAAATGAACTGAAATGGGGACAGCTTAATGATGCTGTCTAGTTTAGATTGAGTCTCTTGGCTTATATTGTCTGTGCTGTCTGCTGGAGTGAATGAATGTTGTATGCCCTCCATGGGATTTTCTCAGAAATAAGATGTTTCTCATGAGACCAGACGAGCAAAACACTTTAGCTTTTGTATATATCAGCATAAGTAGTAACATAAGAATCATGACCTGTATACCCAACCGGTTTCATTAACAATCTCTAAGCAAAACAAAATAAAACAACTTATAAATTCCAGAAATGGTAAAACTAGGCAAAGCAACGTAAAATAAAATTATTAAAATCCATGAAATGCTGCTGTTTTAACCCCATCATATATGGTGGGTATTCTATTAAAAGAGAGAAATTTAACACTTTTTTTTTTTTAAATAAATTAGTTTGGAGTGGGGTTGTCCTCTCTCGGTTTCACAGCCAGTCACATTATTGATATGTATTCTATCCTATATAAACTTTGTGTGGAAGCCAACACTGTAAATAGGTGCACACATAGTGTGTGTCTGTGTTGGGGGGGGGTGTCTTTGCAGACATTGCTGTTTGGTTTTTGGTTTACTTAAAGTTTATGTGCTCTAAAGGTACTGTAATTGTTTAAAAATGTGAGCAAAAAATTATTATTTTCTGGTTCCTGCTATTCCTAAAATCTATCATTATAATCTATTACAGGTAACATAAATATTTGTAATAAGAATTTTTTCTGATACTTAGGGCCTATGCAAGAAAAATTCACTAGCAGCATTATCAAAACTCACCCCTGATTCTTACATTGCAATGAAAAGAAAATAACGAAGTGATATTCTTGTATGTGGTGTTGAGGCTATCTTGCCTAGATACTGACAGATGTCTAACATATGCTTTACAGTTGGATAAAAGCACCTGGTGATACAGAAAGTTTATTGCTGATTGCTCTGTATACTAATAACCCATTGTGCAAAAAGAAAATTGGTACATAAAAAATTAATTGTTTAATCTTTTGGAGCATTATTCCCTCCCATGCAATAACTTGATGGGAAAATAACGTCTGCTGCTCCAACTATTATAACTACTGTGGGGAGTAGCTAACTAAACAAGATGTAATAAACACTATAATAGTTAAGGGACAGATTCTGCCACTTTGTACTTTATTCTTTGATTTAGTCTTTATGCCTTGGTCCTGTTGATTTCAGTGAGTCTACTGGAGGGGTAAGGTGCTTTTCAGCATTAGTATCGGTGGCAGAATCTGGCTGTAAATAAACTTCATTATCCTATGCCGGAGAGGAGAGGAGAGAAATGAGCTACTTTTCGCTGGATGAAGATCAATAACATTTTCTTCCTACTGGGTATTCACACACGAAAGCTTATGCTCCAATACATCTGTTAGTCTTTAAGGTGCCACAGGTCTCTTTGTTGCATTTTCTTCCTAGTTAGGTCTGTTAAACTGTGTTTATAGTCAGGATAGAAACACTGACCATTAACTATAGCTGTGATATGTGCTTATCTGTAATGTGCACGTTTTTATACAATTCTTTACTTTTGAAAAAAAGTTGTGTATTTTAGTGTAGGAACAACATCAGCGTGTATGTTTGTCAGCTAATTGTCATGAGAGAGCATACTGCAGCAAAAGGGATGCAGGGAAAATAACTAGGACTTTTTCCAGCTCATGTTTCATCAGTGGAACAAGCTTGATGGGTAAAAGGACCAGTGTATGGCGTTCGGGGAGGGATATTGCTGATAAAGAAAGACATAATTGGCAACAATCTAGATCTTTATTTCTCCTGGATGTTTTATACGGCGTGTATCAAATTGTTTCCCATTTTAAATAGGAAATGCTTGTTAATATTTGCAGTGTGGGTAGTGCCCAAAGTCTCCAGTCAGGATCTGGGCCCCACTGAGCTAGGTGTTGTACAAACACATGAAGCTACAGCCTTTGCTTTGGAGAACTCAAAGTCCTGAAGGAGAGATTTGAGACACATCCTCTTCTATGTTTGAAGGGATGTGCCAGTAATTCCCGCTCCTCACCAGGTGCTTTCAAAGGTCCTGATGGTGAGATGAGCTGTGATGCGTTTGAATGTTGTATGTGCTGTGCACCTCTCCGGGTGATAGGTATTTCTGTCCTCTTTAACAGGGGAACATAAACTTTGTCTTGGTTTTTTTTAAATGAGGAAAGGTGCTGATTGTGCGTAATGCATATCAATTACCGCTTTCAGGCAGAGAATCCTGTCCCCGTGTTGTGATGTTCCTGGTGCTTCATAAACAATATTTCAGTGGGTGAGGACTTGGGGATCATTCTTATTAAAAGCTATAAATATTGCTGGACATGGACACATGAAAAGCTGTATGTAGCTGGCCTACAAATATTGTCTGCTGGAAGGGTATAAAGGTGCTGACATTTTAAACTATTGGATTTTTAAGATTTTGCTTTGATCATTGTCAGCGTGGTAGCTCAGCAGTCACCGGAGTGGAACCAGTTCTTTCAAGGAATCTGTTCCAGTTGTCTTGCTTGTACGTGGCTCTGAACGTCTTGCAGACTCTTGAGCAGTGGATTTTCAGGTATCAGTTGTGCAGGCTAATTCTGTGCAGTATTGCTACATTGTTTCAAGGTTAGGGAGGCATGTTGGACCATAATTTTGAGAGGCCTTTCTTTTTTTGGCTGTCAATGCTAAGTGCATCCAGGAGGAATCATAAGAGCTGATCCTGTGAATTTTTATGCATTCTCAGGACTCAGACGTTATCACACAAAACAATCCCACTAACTTGTGGAAGTAAAGATTTTCAGAATCGAGTCCCTAGAACAGTGAAAGACCTGTTGGGTTGCTTATTCCACACACCAGGGGTGACAAGTCCAACTAAAAAAGCAATTTATTTTTCCTTAAATGTTTTGACTATTGTAAGACGTGCACAAAAAAGTGCACTTATCAGAACTTGACAGCATGATCAGAACAAAAAGGAAGAATAATAGCAAATTCCCTGTTAGTAGAGGACAAAAGCCTAATCCATAAATGGCATCAGCTTTGTCACATGTAAAAGACCTGGCTGTGAGATAATGTCATCCATTGACTTTCTA